GGGTTTGGCACGGTGGGTGCACAGCGTCCTGCCCGGAGATGCCATGCTAGGCCAGGCGGACAGTTCTACACTGGATGCACCCGCTGCCATCCCCCCTCTGGCCCCAGGGCCCTGCTGGGGTGCTGGGCCTCAGGGAGAACAAAACAGGAAAAAAAAAAAAAAGCATTTAGGGAAGCATGGAGGAACCCCCTGGGGATGCCAGATTAAGGGGCAGCCCCCCCACCTCTTCCTTCTGCTCCCCCAGCAATGAGAAGTGCCACGAGCACTACACCACTGAGTTCCTCTACAACCTCTACTCCTCCGAGGGCAAAGGCATCTTTGACTGCAGGATTAACGTCCTGGGCCACCTCCAGCAGGTATGGGGGACAGGGCCACACAGGCCACTGCTGTCTCCGGGAGCTGGGTGGGCTTGACTTGCCCATTTCTTTGTCCCCAGGGGGGAGCCCCGACCCCCTTTGACCGCAACTATGGGACCAAGCTGGGCGTGAAGGCGGTGCTGTGGATGTCGGAGAAGCTAGAGGAGGTCTACTGCAAGGGTGAGCTGAGGGATGGCGGTCCTGTAGGGGGAGGCTGGTGTCACTGGGTAGCCCCTGCTGCTCCATTCAGACCCTGGAGGGTTGCCATGGTCAGCTGTGTACCCCTCCCAGGGCGCGTGTTTGCCAACTCAGACGACTCTGCCTGCGTGATCGGGCTCAGGAAGAAGGTGGTGGCCTTCAGCCCCGTGACGGAGCTTAAGAAAGTCACTGATTTTGAGTAAGTTCTCATGCCCCAGCGGTTTATCAGATCCTGGGGGGACCTTCCTGGGCTGTCCCTGGGGTCGCTTGAGAGCTGTGTTCCCGCCCCCGCACAGGCACAGGCTGCCCCAAGAGCAGTGGTGGCTGAACCTGCGGCTGATGCTGAAGATGCTCGCCAACTACCAGATCAGCCTGACCGAGTATATCTCGGGGAAGATGGAGCACGTCACCCGCCGCACACTCAGCATCGAGAAGGGCTTCTAGTCCCACCAGCCTGAGTTGTAGCCCCCCCTCTGCATCCTCTCCATCTCCACGTGCTGCTCGGGGAGCACCGGGTCCCCCCTTGTTCTCAGTAGCCCTGTAGCTTTGCCATCAATCCCTTGAAGCTGGCAGAGCCTGGTCCCGGCTCCTAAACCAGCACAATCCTGCCCAAGATCACTGGTCCAGGGTCTGGTCCCTGTGCAGATGCAGACAAGAGGTGTTGCTAGAGCCCAGCTGCACAGCCTGACCCTTAATCATCCCTTACGAGTTTATTCCTATTATTTAATGATGGGGCATCTTGATTCTTTATTTAGCGGCTTGACCGCCTGAGCCAACTGCTGCTTTTAGTTGCCTGCCCTGCGTACAGGAGGGGAGCTGAGGGAGATGTGGTGCCATCCCACAGCAGGTAGGGGCTAGTCCAGGGGGCTTTTGGCTGCCTCTTGAGCCCCGGTAGAGCTCCATCCTCCCCCAGAGTTTGCCCAGTGGAGTGTCTTGAGGGCTCAGCGCAGAGCACCGGTCCTGGCCAGCCCCTCTTCCCCGGCCACCTTGCATGATGCTTGGATGCGACCATCACCGCCCGGCCCCGGGTGCGGTGCCCAACATCTCACCGCTGCTCTGTAACCCCCAAATCTTGTACCATTTGCGGCGCTGCTCTCCTCCTCTAGAGATAAAACCCGCTGGAGCCAAACCTGCCTCACTCCAGAGAGTGGTCATTGTGCACTGAGTCCCTGCGGGGAGGAATGAGGGGGGTGGACCTGGGGTTAGGATGGGGATGAGCAAAGCCAGATGGTTTGCTGGAGCCAGGTTGATGCTGGGCCAGGATGTTCCCTTGCTTCGTGCGTCCTCAAAGCCTGGGAGAGTGGGACTGCGGGCGGCCTCTCCCTGGCTGGGCTGAGGCGGGTGCAAGGTCAGCATCCCTCTGCGGGCAAACTTTGCAATCCTGGCGAAAAATCGCTTCTCCCATGGTTTGGTTCCCACCTTCAAAGAAAGCGCAGAAGTGATTTATCAAGGCGCTGTGTTTGTTAAGGCAGTTTCTCAGGGCAGCTGCCAAGCACACTGGCTCCCGCCTGCAGCGCTCGGGCTTGGCTGAGCTCTGCTGGGCTTGGCTGAGGCCGGACGGCTGCCTGTACCCCCTTTCCCAGGCCATTTTCCTCTTGGGGCTTTCAGCTAACGGCTCCAGCCTCTGGGATGTTGCCTCTGGGATGTTGCATCACAGTCTTTTGGGTCAAATATGCATTTATTTTTTCCTCCCCATGGAGTTGTCCCCAAGTGACAAGTCCCCCTTGATTTCAGCGCTTTTCCCATAGCTGGCCATGTTACTTGTTTTAAGCTCTAGAGGATGATGATAATCATTATATCTTCCTTACCAGAGCCGGACAGATGGAGAAATAGTGTTTTCCTTGCTGATGGAGGCAGCATCACTGCTCTTCCTGGGCAAGTATCTGTTCTGGGGACCCCAGGCAGAGCGGTGGGCTCTCCCACCATCCCATGTACCGCTTTTGAGGAGCCCCATCCAGCTCCCAAGCAAGGCCGCCCCATCAGCCACAGACCCTTGCACCATGGTGGTCGCTGCCTCCCCATCGAGCCTCCGCGAGTCCCGAGAACAGTTTGAACACCAGTTGTGCTGGATCCATGCCCGCGGGCAGACAGCTGCTGGCGTTTTCCATGACTGGGACATGTCTGCCCTCACAGCTCGATATCCCCCGCTGAGGCAGGTCAGGGTGAAGGCAGGTCAGGGTGAGAGCAGGTCACGCCAAAAAGCCCCATGGTTGTGCCGTAGCCCAGGTGGAGCCTCATGCCCAGGCACATCTGGCAGGCCCCGGGCACTTGGCTCCTCTCCAGCACGTGTTTTCTCCTGCCTGGCATGCTCGGCAGCAGGCAGGGCACCACAGCCCTCCTCCAGCAGCCAGGGTCAGGGTGTGAATGGGGAAGGGAGTGTCCCCACGCTCAGACCAGCTGCATGTTTGGATGCAACTTGGGGATAGGGATCACTGCAGTCTTAATACCTCATTTCCACCCAAAATAAAAAGCCTGGAGTGCCAAATTCCTGGCGGGGAGACACGGGCACCGCCCGTGACAGGCAACCACGCCGTGCCCTGCCAGGTCAAGCCAGGAGGGGATGTGGAAACTGCGTACCCAGGCTTGCCAGCACATCAAACCCAGTTTGTCCCCGTCCCCAAAGAGAGGGCAGAGCAAAAAGCCAACAGCATCTTGCAGCAAAAGGCAGGCTGCCAGGCCCTGGGAGTGAAGAGGCATGAGCTGAAGGGGCCAGCCTCCCCCCCCAGGCAGGATGCTGCAGGGTCACCCCGCAAGGAGCAGTGGGGAGCATTAAGGGCAGCTCGGCTGGCAGCGGGAACACCCGCACCAGCCAAGTATGACAAGCGCATCACGTATGCAGCAAGCTCTGCTCGGGGACAGTCGTGCCGTCGGGGATTAACAGCAGAGAGGGGAGGAGCTGCGCCAGAGCAGCCTCAGGCCAACGCGACTGCTCCATTAACCACCTTCACCACAAACAAACCTCCATGAGGAATGATGACGCTTGCTCTGATCACTCTCCTACCAGGAAAGGGGGAGGGGGGGGTCTGGCACACCCAAACAGCAGCTCCCGTGTTCCCTGACATTAACAGGCACAACTTCTACCACTGAGCAGGCTGTCAAGACAGCCTGGGAGAGGACTTGCCCTCAGCACACGGGCAAGAGGCGAACAAGCTGACGGGTAAGTCCCTCGGGCCTTGGCTGTCAAGGAAACTCCAGTGTACTATAAATCACACTGGCCATTTAAACCCAGCTGGGTTTCATGCAGAAGGTCACTGGAGGAGTTAAAGGCATCAGGAAATCTTCACCCAAGCGATGAGGGTCAAACTCTGTCCCCTCCCACCAAGGTCAAGTAAACAGGCTTGTGGCCATGGGGCCATCACCATACCCGAGGAGCATTCAGTGCTTCCCAGCAGCGTGACCCAGCACGCAGGGGCTTGGACACCTCACAAACGGTGAAGTGGGGAGATGGAAATGCCCTGCTGCCCTGCACAGCACCAGGGTCCACAGCCAAGCAGCACCAAGAGCTCGTGCCCTGTGTCTCAGGGGCCGCTGTCCTGCCCAGGCAGGCTGCACACCTCTGCACGAGCAAGCGAGCTTTGCTCACCCTCTCGTCCGCTTTCCGCACTCGGTGCAGACTTGTGGCTGCAAGGAGACTTACAAATAGCACAGTGCCTTTGAAAAGCAGCCCCTGCAGAGGCTCAGTGCAGCAGCAACCAGCACCAGAGGGGGGTGAGCCATTTCCCCGGTCCAGTGAAGCGGGAAGGTGCAGGGGCCCACAGCCCTCCTCCTGCTCCGCAGGACTAACAATGCAAGCCGTGAACCAGACGTAATGGAGCAATGCCCAGAGTCAGTTGTTCTCACTGTTTGCAGAACCCCAGCCACAACTTCCATGTCCTAGAGGGATAATTGGTTTTATTTGGTACATCACAACGTTTTAGTGTGTATGTAATGGCTCTATGAAGTCTTAGTAAATGCAGCTTTTTTCAGTTAAAGAGAAACGCCACCCCTGATGCCTGTGCAAACCAGTGTGGCTTATTTTCTCTTAACTACGGAATGCATGGGTTTTTTTTACCTCTGATGTTGTTTCCTTGAGCTGCTCTAATGCCTGCAGGGACAAGTAGGGGTGAGGGTACAGCTGAGCATTCAGGATCTGGGAGAGTAATTTCTATTCCACCTAGGCTGCACTGAGCTTTTCTTTGGGCTGCCTGACCACCAAGTCAGCTGCTGCATGCGCTAACCAGGATAAGAAAAAGTCAGGAGTTGAAGATAAATTACAAATTTGACATTGACCTTCACAGCCTGCACCACACAGTTCTTGGTAAACATTACAGGCAGTGTGTCCCTGCCAGACTTCACAAAAACACATCTTTGTAGTAGCAACTGCCTTCAGAGTCCGCTACAGGCAGAGGCTGGCTGAGGGTTAGTCTGACAGGGAGCCACCGAGGAGCAGTGCCCTTTCTAGCCATCGCCCGTGCGGCACAGAAGCACCTCTCACTGCAGCCCTGCTCCCTTCTGCTTTGCTGATTTGCCCGCTGCTCCCATTGCAGCGACAGGAGATACAAATGTTAACGGAGCCTGCTATGTAAGCAGGAAAGCTCCCGAGCGCCGGGTCAGCCCCAGCGTGATGCGCACAGCCAGGGGCGATGTCAGAAGCCAGCAGCACCTCATCCCAGCCCCTTCACAGGGAAAGCACAGCGAGAAAACATCGGGGCTTTGGCTGCAGCCAGGCATCGCGGGCAGAACGGCACTGTGGGGCTGGCTGGTGCTTCAGGGAGGTTTGTAACAGGCACCATCACTCCTCCTGCAGCTCCTTCTTCCGAAAGGCCTGAAGCCTCCTCCCCACTGTCTGCTGGACGATCTCCAGACCCTCAGCGTCCAGTTCCTTCATGAGAAGCAGGATGGCATTCAGGACGTTGTTCTGTCGGGAGGAGACAGACATTGCTTTGTACGAGCACGTTAATGCAACGATTTTCAAAGAGCTGCTCTTTCTAGGAACACCACCACCACTGGCAGCAGTTTGCAGCAGACACCTGCAGCTACAGGGACAGAACAACCAAGCCCTGAGGGCAAACATGGGCAGAGGCTGCATGTGATGAGGCCAAGTGGAATGCAGGATGAACCAGTCTGCTCAGTCCCACGCAGGCTGCCCACATGCCTCTGGCTCCTGGCCACCCTCCCAACTGGCTTCCATAAGGAAAGGCCCATTCAAGACCAGCTGCCCTCCCTCTTCAGCATGACCGTGTGTAGGATGGGAGATGACAGAGGAAGACTCTTATCTGAGGAATGAGGAGAGCTGGCAGAATCGCCTAAGCACGAGCTGTAAGGCACCCTTGAAGGTCCCCAGCCCAACCCCCAAATCGATGCAGAACTACTGCCAACACCAAACTATGGCTCTGTCAAACCATGTCTTGAAAAGCTCCAGGGATAGATTCTGGAGCCCCTCTAAATAACTGTCCTTCTAGGGAAAATCTTTTTCCAATGTTCAACCCAAACATCCCCTTGTTTAGTATTTTCTTTTCCCAAAAGCCAGTGCCTGCAGTACTCACGGTGCTGCAAACCAACACACTCAAGTATGTTTAAAACATGAACGAAAGGGAGATTGCAGACTAATATCAAAATGAGGCACAATGTGGTCTAGATCTCACCCTGCCGACTGAAGTGATGGCACTGAGCTCAGCAGACAGCAACTGCCAGCTGAACAGCCAAGATCCATGAGGTTCAGCCAAGGCAACACCATGGAGTGGGGCTGAGAAACCACCTAAGCTTTCAATTCAGCAGCCTCCTGCCCACCAGGCAGGCTACCAGCTGCATTTCAGCCGCTGCCCAAGTACCACGCGTTCTTCACACCACCACAGCGAAGGGCCACACGCGTGCTCGTCTGCGGACAGACCAAGAGGACAAACCCCATCGGGCTTTCCTTACATTGCATGATGAAAAGCAGTCTGGGCTTTAAAGACACTCACTCTCTTCTTTCGGTTGCAGTCTGTCTCTCGAGGTGAAAAGGAGGAAAATTTATCCCTGGGAACAGGCTTCATACCAAGCTCCTCCCGAATTTTGCTAAAGAAGGGAAGGGAGAGCAAGTGTTATTATGACCAGCTGGAACAACCTTACTCTGCCAGGCCAATCCTTTCTACTCATGGGCAACCACGCAAGTATCTAGCTGAAGGACTCAAGGCATATCTGCTCGCATACCACCACTGCCTACAGACCACAACACCCCAAACCAAACTCCCACATGAAGAGCCTCACAGTTATAAAATGGGAACGAGCATGCTGCCACGAGGAGCCTGCGCCCAGCTCCACCTGGGACAACAGATTCCCAGGCTCGACGCTAGCTGGGACTGCAGACCCTGGAACACCACACTTGAACAACATGTGCCACAGCACTGACATGCACTGAAGTGTGTCACAGAAGCAGAGCTAAGCAGGAATGGGCTGGAGAGCTCACACTTCAGAGAGGATCCATCTCTGCCTGCACATGCAGCTGACATGCTTGAGAGGAAGTACCCACCTACAGAAGAGCCTGTTTTGCAGATACAGAACCAGACCCACAAGTGCTATTAAACCAGCACAGCTCCACCGGGGTAACTGGAACAGGAATTTGCACCAGCTGCAGGCCTGGCCTGTGGAGTATCAGGGTTGGCTGGCAGGGTCCTTTCATGCTACACGCAAGTTCAGCCCAGAAATCCTAACAGCTCACAAGCAAGCCCTCACTTTGTCTCCTCCAGACTGAAGTTCAGCAGTTCACTCTCAGTCTCCGTTGTGGATTCAGCAGCACTGGATTCAGTGGCCTCACGACAACCGTTCACCACACTCCTCCTGGCTGGTGGGGCTGTGATCTCCTCACCATCAACCAGGGCCTGGGACAATTCTTCCTCTGTCACAGCTGCAACAGCCAAAACAAACCCCTGCTGCAATGAACTCCAGCAGCCCAGGAAGACAGCATCTGTAACAGTGCAGGTATGGCTGCTGCAGAGCTATACACAGATGTTTACTCCCAAAATCGTTCTTTGTACTAGGCTTTTGCTTTCATCCTCGTTCTGCAGTAAAACCCACCCAGGAGAACACTGGCAGGTGCCTCCAGTCTCTCGAAGTGGAAAAGATAGAAGGGAAGGATGCAAACATGCTTTGCTATTTCTTGTCTCTGGAAAAGGGTCCAAAAGCCACCAAGTTATTGCTACCAGACAGAAAAGCTTCTCATTTTTTTATGACAGCAGATCCAATTACAGAATCTTTGTTTTGCCACAGCAAAGGAGAGAGCTCTGAAAAACCACTAATTAGCGGTACTGTCTCAGCTATAATGAGGCACTCTTGGCTAGTGCTAACTCTGGCACTGCAGAGAAGGGAAGGGAGAAAACAGCTTAGAAGCAACGGATCTTTCAGAAGGGACGCCCAACCTCTGAGACATCCTGACCGAAGGAAGAGTCAAAGGATGCCTTAAAGACAGGAACCAACATGTCACTGGTTTCCAGTTCACCCTGCCCATGGCTTGGGGCTGTTTGTTTACCTGCAAACACCCACCTTGGTTATCAAGCTTCTGCAGGCTGGGTAGGTTACGCAGCACTGTCATTCGGTAGCCGTGGGGGTCTGACCCACAACAGGGATTTTCAGACAGCCACAAGACCCTCAGCCGGGGTAGGTTTTTGAGGTAGAAGAGCTCATTTAGGCTTGCAATGTTGTTCTTCCTCAGATAGAGTTCAGTCAGATTCTGGCACTGACTCAGCGGCTCAAGGTCCGAGATGCCATTCACACTGAAGAGAGACTGTAGGATCAGAGACCAGCGAGCCATCCCTCCCTCCCCGTACTGTTCAGGTGAGAGCACAGACCCTGTAGCACAGCAGCTTTCCAGCCCCCCTTCCTGAAACAACTTCACTGAGGAACCTCACAGCAGGGCAAGGGGCATTTAGGGGCCTGTGGCTTTGCACACAACAAAAAGATAGTTTTATCTTTCTAAACAAAGGAAAGAACTAAAAAAGCAGGCCCTCCTCTGTGCTCAAGATGACAGCCTTTGCTTCCCCCAAACACCCAATCACACTTGCACTCCTTTTTGTAGCAGTTCTCAGACTCACTAAGGGAGAGCCCATGTAAAAAAAATGCAGACAGCATTGGTTATGTGGGATCCCCAGGACAGGTGAAAGATGAGTGTATTGGGGGAGGGTTTATGGAAATGAAAAGCTTTGTGACATCCACAAAGCACTTCAACAAGCATTCTGCAAACTGGTCCCAGAGGCCTAGAAGATCCCAGCTGCACTATGGAATAGGATTTACAGAGCAACAATCCTAAGAGGTTTTAACACCTCCCAAAACCAGGATTATTTTCTTGAGTAGTGAAGTGCTATGTGCAGAGGCGCTCACAGAAGAATAACCATTTACTACATCTCTGCTGCTTGAGAAATCGGGCATGAAGAGCCAGGCAGCTCAGTCACACGATCACAGAAAGGTGGTAAGAAACCACGGGCCAAACCAGAGCCCCACAAGAAAGGCGATTTCCCCTGCCCTCTCCAAAGCTGCCAGTCTGACATTCACCTGAATGTGATCACCTCGATGTTGGGCAAATCCCGGCATATTGATATCTGGGCAGGAATAGAGAGAAACAGCAAGTTGGCATTCCCAGAAAAAAAAAATATGCAATTTAATTCACAAACAAGCAAGATAAAAGCAAGAACAGGAATTCAGGTTTGCTTCGGTCTAACCCAAGTTTAAGACCACTAGAGATTTGCTGCCACAGCCAGTGCAGAGTCAGCAGCTCCTCTGCCTTCTCCGCCCAGGAGTGGAAGCGCAGACACCAGCCCGTGTCACGTTGCTCTTCTGCTCCAGCAACTCTGCACCTCCAGCCCGGCCCCAGCCACCGCGGGCAGCAGAGGATCCCTCTTAGGCCCGACAGCCCTCTCCTAACAGGGTACGTCAGCCAAAGCCCCACACAGACAAGGTAGGACTCAGGGCCCCGCTCTCCAGGGCCCTGTGCAGGCCCTCGGGAGGCGGCGGCCGGCGGCCCCCCCGGTCCCCTGCTCGGGCTCTGCCCACGCTGAGTTCAGGTCTTGCTTGCAGCAGGCTGGGTGGCCTGAAGCAACCTGGGGTGCAGTTTTACCTAATTACTCCACATTTACGTGAATTTTATTATTCGTATCGTTACATCTTACTAGAGAATGTTTCATACGTATAGCTATACCTTTATGGACATATATCTCACTTTACACGGGAGTACGTCTACCCCTTTATCTATGTATGAAGTGTGCATAAATCAAATATACATACATCTTTCCACACCACCTTCTATATTAATATATAAAAATACAGGTAGCACTGCTGACCGCACCAGCACCAGGAGCCCCAAGGCCAGTCCTCCATCCCATTTTGCAATAAAATTGCTGTGGTGTGTCTCCATTTTCCATCTTTAGGGCCTCCAACACGCAGCTTCCACGGAGGAGTGGGGATAGCAGAAATGAAAAAGCCTGGAGAAGCAGTGTGATTAGCTTACAGTCCAAAATAAGGGGTGAATGCAGCATTTCTCAGTGTTTTTCTGCATGTTGCTGCCTTCTTCAGCAACAGAAACAACAGCAAGAGGGGAGCTGATGGTTATTTACTTGTTTACGCTGGTGTTTCGGTGCAGTGGTTCAAAGACATTGGACCTGAACCCCTGGTTGCGGTGGTCGGTGATGGCCTTGCGCCAGGGAGAGGAGATGGGTGGCACTGAGCTCCCTGCCTTCCTTATTGCCACACTTCTGGGTAAGAGAAGGACCAAGAGATGCATTTATTGGGTTCAATGGGCACACACTTTTCAGGAAAAATGCGGGATAAGCAGGTTAGGCAGATCATCATTCTGCATTTTCTTCTCTCTGTCTCTCAGCACTGAGCTGCTGTCACACCCATGGACAGCTAGCCAGGGCCTCAGACGGGGAGGCCCGGGCGCAGGTGTGGCCCTGGTGTTTTCTGAGCTGGATATACAATAACTTGGAGGCAATTGAAGCGATTTTTGGAGTTCTCGACTTTTCTGTGTGCAGCTGTCCATAGGTCAGCTGGTGTGAGGTGGTTGCTGAGACCTGGGATTTGGCCACTTGGGCCGTGTGTCAGTGAAGGCAGCGAATCCTCGGTGTCGTGGGAGGAGCAGCAATGTACACAGCTTTGCCATACTTTTGTTCTCCAAATCCTAGGCTGCTTTCGCTTCCAATGAAATATGGAAACTCCCTAGCATGCTTTCAACTGCCTGGCTGCGCAATCCCACCCCCAGCCATGCTTAGCTGCACTGTCAGCAGCAAAGCCTGACCCTGAAACAGGCTAAGTGGATTAAGGAATCTTCTCTAGGTGCCAGAGAGATATTTTCGTACTCATCTTACTGACAAAAGTACAGTTCAGTCAGTTTAAACATACACATCCTCCTCTCTCTGCTCTGACACCTGTCCTGCAACTGAAACATGCACAAAAGACTGTTTCATTCAGGTTAATTAAATAAAATTGATTTTAATCCCCAGTTTAATATTGTAAGTAGTATCAGTAATAATCTCAGGCAAACCTCCTCCCCAGTCTTTTAAAAAGGAAAGAGCTTAAATAATGCATATAGACTTGTAAAGTGCATTAAATTACCAGCTTGGAGAGAAGAGCAAAAGAACCACGGAGGTCTGGGACCACAGGGCCTCGTCAGGCTGCATAGGATCACCTACAGTCACTGGCACGTCCACTTCCCACTCGCAGCCCTGCAGTGTCGCCTAACAGATCTTGCAAGGCTCTGGTGCAGAGATTGGATCTCCCCACCATGAGCTCCCCAGGCTCTCAGCTTGTCTTATACTCAGCCATGGTGAGGTCCAGCTTGCTTGTTAATCCACATGAGCAAAAGAGTGAAAAGCTCTTTGTACATTTGGGCTCCTATCTAGAGTATTTTCAGTTTGGTCTGCACTATGTGGTAGCCACACATTCTCTTCCCAGCTCTGTATCAGTGTTTTATACAATGAACCTATTACCGCTTGTTTAATTGCTTTGTGGAGGGTTCAGGAAAGCTACTTTTTTCACATAATCCTTATGTGTATTTTCTCATTTCAGAAAAGCTTTTTTTCTGATCAGTAGCTTTTGCTGTGACCTGTGATTCCTCCAGGCAGGGTCTCACGACTTACTTGCAATGCCCACAGAAGCTTCAGAAAGAGGCATTTTGAACTCCCGAGCATCCTGGCTACTGAACCAAACCTTCCCTGGACATGCTGTGGGATTGCTGTTGGTGTGTGAGTCACAGCAAAGGGAGTTTGAAGGAGCTGGGAGCTGCCACTGATGATGACAAGAAGTGCTGCTGCTAGTAATCCTGAGTGTCATCATTGCTGCTAGGATCAGCACATGACCCTGGTGCCAGTAGCCATCACACCTCCACACTGCTCTACATGCTTGACACCACCATCACCCGTGGGGTGCCTGCTGTCATGGGTGTCAGTGGTTCCTTTCTCCATTGGCCACAGGGTACTTGCTGCCATCCCTGTGCAGATGGCAGCACCCAGACACACACCCTCCTCCGGAGTGCAGGCAGCAGGCTGCCTCACTGCTGCACCTGGTGGTCAACCAGCACCACCTCTCTTGATGCTACCCCACTTGCAATGGTGGTACCTGCAGGTCCCTACTGAGCACCATCCTGGTTAGGAAGAGCTGTTAAATGGGGTGGAAGGAGCAGGATGGCTTTGGGGGAGGCATTTGGAGAACCTGTTTTATCCTCCTGGTATCATCAGACAGGTGGTCAGCACTCCTGGAGATGGGCTCTGCTCCCTCTCCTCCTGCGTGGTGTGTGGCAGGGAAGGGCAGCTTTCTTGGGAAAGCCCCACTTGGTTGAGAAAGTCTCAGCAGTTGTTTCTGGGCGGCAAGTTGTTCCTGTAACTGCTCCAACGTAACTTAGTGTCATGGCAAGCTTGGTCATGTTGTGGTTCAGAGGACGGTCTCCTCATGGCAGCTCTCCAGCAGCTATTCCACCCACAGACCATTCCCTCCATGCAACTGTCAGTGCTCCGGGGTCAGCAACACCAGATGGGATCACTGTTTAGATGTTGGCAGGAAATGCTGTGGTTTGGTAAGAGCTAATGAAAAAATCTTGTCATCATGGAGGCAGGCGTGTCACCGTAGACCTATGCAGGCTCCGTCACAGGCTCAGTTTTCTCTCTGGGAAGCATCCAGTTCAGCCCCTCTGGAGAGACAGCCAAAGAACACCAGGGTCTACAAGACACTGCCAGATCTAGTGAAGGAGATGAGCACTCCAGGGGTGCTCTTTGCGCCAAGTTGACAGAAGAGCTTCTCCAAAAATTCTGGGAAAAAGCTTTGGAGAGGGCTTCCAGGAAAGCTCCTGCTACCTACAATTTCTACCTGCAGCAATTTTCCTGTACGATCACACTGACACTGGCACTGTTTCACTGGAGAGCTGTATGGACACCACAGCAAGTGTTCCCAAAGCCACCCTGGGACATCATGTAGCTCTGGTGATCTGACCAAGGCGAGAGATTTCACGACAGCCTAGACCCGTCAAAACCAACAAATATGAATTCTCAAGAATGCCATCCACAGCAAAAGGAAATCAAACTGGGCCACTTCAATAAACAAAAGCTTAAAATTACATCATGTCAAGCTAAAACATACAAAGCATTAAATCGAGAACATGCAAGTTATTTATATTGCAAACTGTTATATTATTAAAAGCTAATTTCATCAGACCAGCTTGCTGTCCTGATAGCCAATTACATAGAACAAGTATTTAATTTACTGTGAAGCCTACAAAATTATGAGTGAGGAGGCAAATGCCACCAGATACGTGGAAGGCTTCTTTCTTCAGATGCTTCTTCATTCCTGTGCAGGAGCTCTGTTGGTATTTCTTTCCTTTGTTTTACACACCGTCCTTACACCAAGACAGAAGTGGCACCACAGCATTGCTGTGCTGTTGCAGTCCAGGTTTTAGCGCTTTGCCATGTTGACAGATCTAGTCACTGGTTACAGCTGAAATGCCAAAATAAGGAGCAATTTCCACTGCTCACAGTGTGATATGGGAAGTTTAGGGGATGTAGCAAGATCAAACTTTAGGCCCGTGCAAGGCTGGGGGCTGTGAGCGTAGACATGCCGGGTGCTGATTGTGTTGCCAAGCTACTATCTTCCGGTTGCCAAGCTACTATCTTCTGGTTGAATAGAAGTCTCCCCTTCCTCCCTTAAACATGTATGTGTCAGCAACAAATTACCCCAAATTCCAGCACAAACTGGCTTGGCGGCTGGGCCAGGGGCCAGGGAGCAAGAGAGACTTGCAAGGCGGCAGGGTGAAAAGTTCAATGGCGAGGAAGAGGAGATACTTCATCTCTGCAACCCTTGCCCAGGACCATAGGAGCTCATCGCGCAGATGCAGAGGGGAGGAGACCTAATTACAATAAGAAGCGAGGAGAGGCAGGGATAGATTATGTATATGTATAGGTGTTTTGTAAATATGCAATACCTTGTAATATATAAGCCAGGCAAGAGCTACAGAGGGTGCGCATGCTTGTGGTGGAGCGATCCCCCATGCGCCCAGAGCTGAATAAACATACCTACTTTAAAACTTCACAGTTGTAGAGTTGGGTTTTTTTCCGCAAGACATCTTGGCACCTCAGGTGGGACTATCTCGGCTGCCGGACTGCTGAAGGGTGGACGTCCTAAGTGCGTACCCTGAGCTTTCTCAGAGGAACTCCGCTCCCAGCTGTCCACTGCGGGAGCAGACAAGGACCATCGGAATCGCGGACAAAGTTATGTTTAAATGGTAACAGGCTGCTGGTAAGCCGCGCAGAGACGTCTGGCGCACAGCATAGTCCCAAGGGAAACCGCGAAAGGAATATCGAGACTCGGGGTTTATGGAGTGTCATTGGCCACCTCGACCGACTGAATAAGTGGGTATTGGGGTTCACGGGAGTGTCTGACCACCTCGGGATTGGTACTTGTTGCAACTTGTTGAAACTTGTGAGATTCTGTCTGGTTTTGAACTTACAGCAAATTGTTAATGGTTTATGATATATGCTACACGGAGGACCTAGTTGTTGTTTCATATTGTGCATATTTTGTGGTGTGAGTGGAAAGCGTGACGGGCCCTTTAAGTGTGATAGAGCGCTTGTGTGTCTGTGTGCCTGCACGCCTGCAGGGCGTGAGTGAGAGGCAGCCGCTGCCGTGTGAGTGAGAGCCGCTGCTGCTGTGTGTCTGCATGCCTGCAGGGCGTGAGTGAGTGGCAGCCGCCGCAAAACAAATGAGAAGTTTCTATCTGTTTAAATAATGCACTGTCTTTGTATGTTTTGTGAAAACATTGCATGAACCGGAGACGGGAAAGCGGATCCCTTCTCCGTTAGTTTGGGTTGGAATCTAGTGATTATTTGTGTAGAAGGAATGAATGGTCGGCACGGGGAAATTATTTATACCTGCTAGAAGGATTGTACACAGCTCCTTCTGGGCAGCTGGTAGCATTAGAGTGGGAACAACCAGCCGATTATACCCCCCGGGTCCGTGGGAGAACCCCCTGCTTTCTTTGTGTTCCTACCCCCGGTAAGGGAATTCTCACCCAGCATAGGTAATTAGCAGAGTGCGTAGATTGTCGATGTAAGTGGTACTGTGCGGTGTCGTCAGATCTCTCAGTCGAAAGACGGGAGTCGACAAATATTAAATTTGTGTGTGGACGAAGTCATAAGATACCGGAACTTTGGGAAGTAAAGGAGGAAGAGTGGGAAAAGGTTAAAAGACAGTGTAGGAATTGCTATAAGTGGAGAGAAAGCATTTTGGGAAGAAGGAATAATAATGGGGAATAAGCAGGCAAGAATTTTAAAGAAAAGCCCATTGGATTGCATACTCACTCACTGGAAAGACATAGCGGGGAGGGGAAGCACGGAAAGCAAGAAAATCCTGATTAAATATTGTAACCAGTGGTGGCCACTTTACAAACTGGAAGAGGAGGCTAAATGGCCACCGAATGGGACCTTAGACTACCACACGCTGTTGCAATTAATGTTATTTTTACGGAGAGAAGGGAAGTGGGATGAGGTGCCCTACGCAGACATGTTCTTTACCCTCCGGAATCACTCGGAGTGGCAGAGGGATTGTGGATTAATTCCACCACAAGACCCTTTAGTGCTTGCCCTGGAAAAGGATTATAAGGGAGAGATGAAAGGGAAATTAAAGAGGTGCTGCTCATCATGCAGCATTGGACAGAGGTGTACAAGAATGGATAAAACTAGAAGGGCGAAAGAGCAGAGCTCGGAGGACTTATTTAAACCCCCTCCTCAGTCCCAGGAACAAGATGAGGACTCAGAGGAACAGTCCATTTCTCCGGATAGCCCAATCTCCTCCCGGACGCGGGAAAAAGCTCCCAAAGCCCTCCAAGCACCCCTCAGAGAGGCGGTGGGACCCCAGGGCACTATGCTGATAAAGGTGCCATTTTCTACCTTTGATTTAGAGACGTGGGAAAAGAAAGCTAAAAATTACCGAAATGACCCTGAGAGCGTGACCAGGCATTTTCGGCTTATTATAAGGCAACACAACCCTGACTGGGAGGACATGCAGCTATTACTGGATCATTTAACTGAGACTGAAAAACAGCTAGTTTTAAAGACGGCACAAAATCTGGCAGAGGATCACTATAGGGCTACTGGGGGAGACTATAAGGAGTTCCTTCCCCTACATGATGACCCGAAATGGGATCCCAATCGGTCTGCACATGTGGAAAGATTACGAGCATACCACGAGTGGGTTGCAAAGGGAATGGAGAGGGCTATCCCTAAAACAATATATTGGTCAGCACTCTATGAAGTCAAACAAGGTCCATCTGAGTCCCCATCAGAGTTCCTGGATCGGCTGAGGGATACAATGCGCCGCAACACTCCCTTAGACCCGAGCTCAGAGGCAGGGATACAACATTTGGTTTCTCTGTTCCTAGAGCAAGCCACAGGGGATATTAGGAGAAAACTTCAGAAGATACCTCCTCCTGGGGGAAGGAACTTAGAGACATTATTAGAGGAGGCATGGAGAGTATTCTGGAATAGGGAGGAGGACTACAAGAAAGGGCATAAGAAAATTCTTGCAGTGATCAAGGAAGGGGAGCAGAAAAGATCGGAACTGCCCCCACTTAAAAGAAATCAATGTGCCATATGTAGGGAATTTGGACATTGGAAAAGCGAATGTCCAGGGAGATGGAAAAATAAAGGGAAAGGAGGAAGCCACCGAAAGCAGCAGATGCTAGCCAATTTAAACAAACAATGATGGGGACCTGGGGAATCTACCCTAGCGGATCCGCTGGTTACAATAAAGTTAGGGAAAGAACAAAAGGAAGTGGAGTTTTTAGTAGACACCAGAGCAACATATTCGGTTCTAAATATGGATCTGATACCCTTAGAGAAAGATTATGTTATGGTAATGGGAGCTACTGGTCAAAGTGAAAGGGCATATTTTTGTAAACCCTTGAAGTATAAATTGGGAAAACAGGCATACACAAATTTCTGTATATGCCTAACTCCCCAAAAGCGCTCTTGGGAAGAGACTTACTAGAACAATTAGGAGCAACTATTACCTTTAACAATGGAGAGATTATTCTGGAGGTAAACAACCAAGAATTTATACAGATCATGAGCTTATCCTTAACCAGTATCTCCACAGGAGGGGAGATTAGTGAGGAGATCATCAACCAAGTATATCCTGGAGTATGGGCCACTGACATAACCAGAAGAGCAAGGAATGCCCCACCCGTAGAGGTAAACCTTAAGGAAGGACAACAGCTGGTAAGAATTAAACAATACCCTTTAAAAAAGGAGGATGGGGAAGGGATCCAGCCAGTCATAGAAAAGTTTTTGCAAATAGGATTATTAAAGGAGTGTGAGTCTAACTTTAATACTCCCATATTACCTGTCCGGAAACCCGACGGGTCATATAGGATAGTTCAGGATCTGAGAGCAATAAATAAAATAACAGAAGATCTCCACCCAGTGGTGGCAAACCCTTACACCTTGTTGACAAAATTAACTCCTGAGGTAATCTGGTTTACTGTTTTAGACATCAAGGATGCTTTCTTTTGCCTCTCTCTCCTCGAAGCCAGTCAGAAAATATTTGCATTTGAATGGGAAAATCTTAAGAGTGTGAGACGGGGTGTCTAAACAATCTTAGATTGATGGTGCAAGGCTTGCGCAAAAACAAGGGGAGGCATATGGGACTGTTCAAAAAAGACATACCAAGTGCTGATAACGTTGCTAGGCGACTATCTCCTAGCCCAAAGAGAAGTCTCCCCGAGTCCTTGAAGTTGTGGGTACCAGCAACAGACTACCCAGACACCAGCATAAACTGGCCTGGCAATCTGGACAAAAGCCAGAGAACAACTGAGGCTGCGCAGAGCGACAGGGTGAAAAGTTAATCAGCGAGGAAGAAGAAGTACTTCATCTTTACGACCCCTCCCCAGGAAGTTGCGACCCCAGCCTGGAGCTTGAAGAGCTCATCACACAGGCGCAAGAGGAGGAGACCTGATTACCATGAGAAGCGAGGGGAGGCGGGGGTAGACTATCTATATGTATAGGCGTTCTATGAATATGCACTATTTTGTAACATATAAGCCGGACAGGAGCTGCAAACGGTGCACATGCTTCTGGTGGAGCGATCCCCCATGTGCCCAGCACTGAATAAACATACCTACTTTATAACTCCAAAGTTATAGAGTAATTTCTCTGCAAAACATCTTGGCACCCTAGATGGGACCTACCTTTGCTTGGCTGCCTGGACACTGCTGGAGGGTGGACGTCCTAGGTGCACCCCGAGCTCTTCTCGGAGGAACTCCGCTCCCAGCTGTCCACTGCGGGAGCAGACAATGACCATCTGGTTCGCGGACAGAGGTATGTTTACAAGGGTAACAGGCTGCTGGTAAGATGCACAGAGACATCTGGCGCACGGCTCAGTCCCGAGGGGGGGTATACCCATTTGGTTTTGGCTTTGGGAATCCGCGGGAAAGTAAGATCTTTTGGGGCAAACTACCGATGACTGGTATATAAGAGGCAGTTTGCATTTTGGGCAGGGTACTGGTAATTACCGTCACCTGCAGGATCTTGCTTCAGGTCATTGTATAGTGCACTAATTGTGGATATACTGGCTTTGAACTGACTAAATTGTTAACGGTTTATGATACATGTTACAAACGGATTTGGTGATTGTTTAAACTCGGTATATTTTGGGGTATGAGTGGAAAGTGTGGTGGGCCCTGTAAGTGTCTGTGTGCCTGTGTGGTGTGAGTGAGACCAACCGCTGCTGTGTGTCTGTGTGCCTGCAGGGGCAGGGTGAGTGAGACGCTGCCGCTGCTGTGTGAGTGAGAGGCAGCTGCTGCAAGATAAATGAGAAGTTTATGTCTGTTTAAATAATACACTGTCCTTGTATGTCTTGTGAAAACATTGTATGAGCCGGAGATGGGAAAGTGAATCCCTTCTCTGTCAGTTTGGGTTAGATTTGGTCGGATTATTTGTGTAGAAGGAACGAATGGTCAGCACGGGGAAATGATTTATACCTGCTAGAAGGATTGTACACAGCTCCTTCTGGGTAACTGGTAGTACCAGATTGGGTTCGTGGGAGAATCCCCTGCTTTCTCTGTGCTCCTATGCTCCTACCTTTATTAATTTTCATCAAGCTTGGGTATTAGCAGAGTGCATAGATTGTCGATGTAAGTGGTATTATGCATCTGATAAGAGGAGGTCAAGGTGTGCAGAGTGCTGGGAAGAAGCAGTGTCATTAGACCTCTCGGTCGAAAGACGGGAGTCGATAATTATTGTGTGGACGAAGTCATAAGATACCAGAACTTTGGGAAGTGAAGGAGGAAGAGTGGGAAAAGGTTAAAAGACAGTGTAGAAAGTGCTATAAGTGGAGAGAAAGGATTTTGGGAAGAAGGAATAATAATGGGAAATAAGCAGGGGAAAATTGTAAAGAAAAGCCCATTGGATTGCATACTCACGCACTGGAAAGACATAGCAGGGAGAGGAAGCACAGTGATCAAGAAAATCCTGATTAAATATTGTAACCAGTGGTGGCCACTTTACAAACTAGAAGAAAAAGCTAAATGGCCACTAAATGGGACCTTAGACTATAACACGCTTTTATAATTAATGTTATTTTTATAGAGGGAAGGGAAGTGGGATGAGGTGTTTTACGCAGACATGTTCTTTACCCTCCGAAATCACCCGGGGTGGCAGAGGGACTGTGGACTAGTTCCACCATAAGATCCTTTAGTGCTTTTCCTGGAAAAGGTTATAAGGGAGCTACTAGCCAAAGTGAAAAGGCTTATTTTTACAAACCTTTGAAATATAAACTGGGAAAGCAGTTAGGCATACACAAATTTCTGTATTTGCCTTACTCCACAAAAGCGCTCCTAGGAAGACACTTACTAGAACAATTAGGAGCAACTATTACCTTTAACAATGGAGAGATTACTCTGGAGGTAAATAACCAAGAACTTATACAAATCATGAGCTTGTCCCTAACTAGTATCCCCACAAGAGGAGAAATCAGTGAGGAAATTATCAATCCAGTGTATCCCGGAGTGTGGGCCACTGACACGCCTGGAAGGGCAAAGAATACCTCACCCGTAGAGGTAAAACGTAAGGAAGGACAACAACTGGTAAGAATTAACCAATACCCTTTAAAAGGAAGATCGGGAAGGGATCCAGCCAGTTATAAAAAAAATTTTTACAAATAGGATTAATAAATAGATCTCCACCCAGTGGTGGCAAACCCATACACTTTGTAAACACAATTAACTCCTGAGCTAATCTGGTTTACTGTTTTAGACCTCAAGGATGCTTTCTTTTGCCTCTCTCTCCTTGAAGCCAGTCAGAAAATATTTACATTTGAATGAGAAAATCCTAGGAGTGGGCGGAAGACCCAGTTAACCTGGACGGTGCTGCCACAAGGATTGAAGAACAGCCGCACTATATTCAGTAACCAGCTAGCAAAAGACCTCGAATTGTGGGAAGCCCCAACCCCACCTGAAGAGGGAAGGCTGTTGCAATATGTAGACGACATCCTGATTGCCACCAAGACGAAAGAAACCTGTATGGCTTGGACGGTAAGACTTTTAATTTTTTGGGGACTTCAGGGCTACCGGGTGTCTAAAAAGAAGGCCCAAGTGGTGCAGAGTGAAGTGATCTATCTGGGCTACGAAATCAGTGCTGGAAAGAGAACCTTAGGACAAGCTCAGAAAGAAGCAATTTATCAGACTTCGAGGTCACAGACAGTGAAAGAACTGCGAACGTTCCTGGGAATGACTGGGTGGTGCAAACTATGGATTTATAATTATAGATTGCTTGTTAATCCTTTATATGCACTAACCACCACTCAACAGAAAAATCTCCAATGGAATAAGGAGGCTATACGAACCTTTGACCTGTTAAAAAAGGCTCTGATGTCAGCTCCAGCTTTGGGACTCCTAGATGTAAGTAAACCATTCTTTCTCTTTTCACATGAGAAACGGGGAATTGCATTGGGAATACTGGCACAAGACTTAGGCCCGTATTGTCGGGCAGTCGCCTATTTCTCCAAGCAACTAGATACAACTGATAAAGGTTGGCCTGGATGCCTACGACCAGTTACAGCAGTGATCCTAAATATACAGGAGGCACGAAAATTCACTTTAGGCCAGAAAATGACTGTATTTGTATCTCATACAGTGTCTGCAGTATTGGAAATTAAAGGGGGACATTGGCTTTCGCCCCAAAGGTTCTTAAAATATCAGGCGGAATTAGTAGAACAAGATGATGTGGAGATTGTAGTAACTAACATTATTAACCCAGCTTCTTTCCTGAGTGGAAACACAGGAGAACCAGTGCAACATGATTGCCTGGAGACCATTGGGGCAACATACTCAAGCCGCACAGATCTGAAGGATGCCCCTCTGGAAGATGCTGAGAACTGGTTTACGGATGGAAGCAGCTATGTTTCGAGTGGCAAGAGGTATGCTGGGTATGCTGTTACTACCACCCAAGAAATACTGGAATCAGGACCACTGCCTGCGAATACCTCTGCACAAAAGGCAGAGATAATCGCACTGACTCGTGCTTTAGGACTAGCCCAAGGCAAGACAGTGAATATTTACACAAAGTATGCCTTTGGGGTAGTCCATGCTCATGGAGCAATCTGGAGGGAAAGAGAACTGTTGAACTCACGAGGGAAACACATCAAACATGGGAAGGAAATTCTGGAACTGCTAGAAGCTGTACAACTTCCAAGAAAGGTGGCAATCGTGCATGTTAAGGCCCACCAAAAGGTGAACTCGGATTTGGAAAAAGGAAATGTACTGGCAGACAGAGAGGCAAAACAAGCAGCCGAAAGAGAGGTAAAAATAGAGGGAGTTTTAGTTCCTGATGGGCAAATCATCCCAGAAGGTAAACTAAAGAGGATCAAAAGTTAATTACAGACCTGGAAGGATCATATAATGAAGAAGGTTGGGCCATCACTCCCCAAGGGAAGGTAGTAATTCCCTCTTGTTTAGCTAGACACCTGGTACAAGAGGAACACAAGAAAGGGCACTGGGGAGCGGAGGCCCTATACCGATATTTGGTTAAGAATATTAGAGCTAGAAATTTATATACTATAGTAAGACAGGTGACTCAACAGTGTAACCTTTGCCTCCAGACTAATCCTAAGAATACCCCCATTCTAGAAGAAGGCCAGATTAGAAAAGGAAATGGACCGGGACAACAATGGCAAATTGATTTTTCAGAATTTCCAAGAAAAGGGGGTATTGATATTTACTGGTATTAACGGATACCTTTTCAGGTTGGCCAGAAGCATTCCCCACTAGGTCTGCCAAAGCCCGGGAAGTGACAAAAATATGAGTACAAGAAATAATTCCATGCTTTGGGGTCCCAGCCACTATATCCTCAGACAAAGGACCACACTTTATCTCGAAAGTAGTTCAGCAAATCAGTCGCCATCTAGGTATAGATTGGCAACTTCACACTCCTTATCGTCCCCAATCTAGTGGCCAAGTAGAGAAAATGAATAATTTGATTAAGCAGCAAATAGTGAAACTTAGTCAGGAGTCAAATCTGGCCTGGCCCCAGGCTCTCCCTCTGGCACTTTTGCGCATACGAGCAAAACCAAGGGCCAAGGAGGGGTTAAGCCCTTATGAAATGCTATATGGCAGACCTTACATGGTGCAAAAGGGAATGTCAGTGCAAATTGGGGAGGAAACTATGACTTCATACATGATAGCATTAGGCAAACAACTTAACAAAATTGGGAAACATGTATTTGGAACTCACAGTAGAGGGTTAGACGGACCGGTACACGATATACAGCCTGGAGACTATGTGTATGTTAAGTCTCTTGAAGAAAAAAACGTTGGAACCACAATGGGAGGGGCCATTCCAGGTGCTGCTTACGACATTTACTGCAATGAAAATTAAAGAACACACGTCATGGATACATCATACTAGGGTCAAGAAGGCTCCTAAACAGTGCTGGGAGGTGACAGAAACTGGACCATTAAAACTCAGACTTAAACAAAAACTTTTATAAACAACAAAAGCCATTGGATTTAGACCTCGAAATGATCAACCGTAAGTTTGAACTGTTAATATGTTTTAATATTATCCTTCTTGCCTGTGCCCAGGAGCCCAAAGATTGGACTTGGAATCACGCCCAGAAAAATCATGTCATGATGATGAAGGATGTGGACTCCACCGACAAAAACTGGAATCCTTAACACAATCCTTCACCCAGTAGTAACTCTACTGATGCCTGTAGTGGCTTTGTTGACCGTTACTGTAGCTATACATATGGAATTGGAGACTTACAAAAAGTTTACAAGTTATGTATGAGGCTTTATATCATAATCCGAGTTTGAAAAGACTAAAGTAGACTTTACTAACACGCGAATTTATAGAAGTGAGTTGTAGGATAGTTTGAGTAGTAAAAGAATTTATTAAGTAAAAAGAAAAGGAGGGAGATTGATATGGGAAGTTTAGGGGTTGTAGCAAGATCAAACTTTAGGCCTGTGCAAGGCTGGGGGCTGTGAGCGTAGACATGCCGGGTGCTGATTGTGTTGCCAAGCTACTATCTTCTGGTTGAATAGAAGTCTCCCCTTCCTCCCTTAAACATGTATGTGTCAGCAACAAATTACCCCAAATTCCAGCACAAACTGGCTCGGCGGCTCGGCCAGGGGCCAGGGAGCAAGAGAGACTGCACGAGGCGGCAGGGTGAAAAGTTCAACAGCGAGGAAGAGGAGATACTTCATCTCTGCAACCCTTGCCCAGGACCATAAGAGCTCATCGCGCAGACGCAGAGGGGAGGAGACCTAATTACAATAAGAAGCGAGGAGAGGCAGGGATAGATTATGTATATGTATAGGTGTTTTGTAAATATGCAATACCTTGTAATATATAAGCCAGGCAAGAGCTACAGAGGGTGTGCATGCTTGTGGTGGAGCGATCCCCCATGCGCCCAGCGCTGAATAAACATACCTACTTTACAACTTCACAGTTGTAGAGTTGTTTTTTTTTTTTTTCCGCAAATCAAGTGCTCTGCAGAGACCATTATCAGTTCCTTTTGTCAATAATACACATTGTATGAATACATTTACATGGGAATTGGGATCCTGCTGATTTATGTATATTCAAAGTAAAATATTAGGCTTCTTTCTGCAGCTCATGGGATGCTGTGAGATTCACAGGAAGGAGCCTGAAGGGATCAGGGTGCTAGGTCCCTCCCTTATAAAGAGTCAAAAAAACATGCAAAAAGGTCTGGAAATTAGACTCAAGGTAGATCAGAAAGCCTGGCTTCCCCCTTTCTGAAGAAAAAAAAAACTGCAGAATTAGTAAGCAGAGCAAAGGGAGCCAAAACACAGCAGGAGATGTAGGGAACCAACTGCAGTCAATTTACTGCAAGGGGGTTGCATAAAATAACAGGTGTTGGGGAAGAGAGAAAAGGGAAAAAAGCAGACAAATCCTTCAGAAGGGTTTATTAATCACTGCAGACATAGGTGGATTACAGCACTGGCACTATGGCCACACATAATACACTAGATTTTGAAATCACACCCAAGTGGCAAATCTAGTATTTTTTTAAATTACGTTTTGAAAAGGATCTGGCACAAGGAGAACAAAGAGGTACAAGGAGGTAAAGGAAACTTAACCAGCACTCTTTTCTACACCCAGATCTGCCAAGGACAACGCTGCTTTACAGAGGAAACGTCCCTTGCAGTTCAATTGTTTTATCTCTCAATCCTGCCCCTTCCCCAGATCTCCCATTAGGAGCTCAGTGTCATGGAAGAACAAAGATTAAGTGAAGATTAAGAACATTTAAATGAAGATTAAGAACATTTAAGTGAAGATTAAAGATTAGGAACAAAGAGTAAGTGAAAAGTCCTGAGTAGAAAACACCCATTCATGGCAAGGAGCCCCATCTCACAAAGCAGCATTTTCACTCTGTCCAACAGCAGGAGTTACATATAATCCCCAAAATTGATCCCGAGTAGAGCAGAGTGGCTCATGTCTACACGGCTCAGGTCTCTGGAGCAGACTGGGCTGCTCTTGCTGCTTCAAAAATCATCTCTTGGTGATAACGTTTCAGCGGTTCCCAAGCTGGGCAAAGTAGTAAAGTCCATCCATAGGTCCTGCTGCTGCTGCAGTAAGGTGGATTTGCTGTTTGGACTGCCACCATTCACATTAGCCATGTCTTTGCTAATCGAGATCGACCTTTTGGTGTTAATATTTTCAGACTTATTTTCAACGGGTAATAGACAAAGGACAAAATGAAAAAACAAAGGTGAAAGTTCCTTAAATTCCTGATTTCAAATGCATTTGAACATTGTTAAATAAATCCACCAACATAGTTTCTTCCAGGATTGGTGGAGTGAAAGTCACATGATATATTTGATATGTTTTTATCAGTATTTTTCTGTTCCTGATCAGCTGTCGTGTCAAATTAGCAAATTACATGCTAATGGAATTTGTACAGACTGGGCACAGTACAAACGCAGTAGCTCTTGTAAAACATGTTGAAAAAATGAAAGGTTTTTATCCTGTGCCATTTAAAGCTGCTGAGCAATAACGATGAACCATCTAAGATCAGCTTCGAATGACTAACAGATATCATATGTAATTTCAGTAAAGGAAAAATCCACTCCTATGAGTAATACAAGATGACGAAACATGATTATTTTGACAAATAGATCTTTATGATGTAAAAGGCAAATAGTGATGTTCACTTGGGGGTTGCTAATTCTTTGGCATTTGCTTACTGAATTGCAGCCTATAAAAAAATTTGCACTTCCAAAAGTTATGAAAAGATGGAGTTTTTTCAGCACACTCTGATTCCAACATGTCTGCAGCTGCAGAGCCAACCTGTCAGCTCCCTGCTCCCGCTCCGCCTTCTCTTCCCCCTGCAGCGCCCTGCACAGCATGCCAACACGCTTACTAGAGCGCACAGAAACCACATTAGGGAGTGAGCCAGCTCAAAAATAATTAGTGAACTGGCATTAGATGGCTATGCTGCCGAGGGTGATGGTCCAGTTTCTCCCAACAGCTTTTCAGTGGCAGTGTGAGTGTGAGCTCCACCACCATCTTGCTGCACCACTTCTTCCCGGCTGTGTGCTACCCAGAACTGTGCCAGACCAAGCACTTGTGCAGCTCTTTGCTGGAAGGGGATCGTAGAACCGATCCTGCTAAGAATAACCTTTTTTCCCTGAGCACCAGCTCATCTTGCTGCTGAAAGAGCAGATGGAAATGAACAGAGAGGACAGTCACTGCTTGAACTCAAGTCATGTCTGAACATGCTCTGAAACTAGAGGGCATGACCTGAGCTGTTTGTAGATTTTGAGGGGTCTCTTCTGAGGACTGAGTTGAACCTGAAGATGACGTAGCATGTATGAGACTCTGCTAGTTTAACTGCACAAGTGTTTTTTAATAAAATCTTGCAGGAACGTGGTTGTGGAGAACATGGTCAGGAGTCCCACAAATGCATATTCACATGATAGACATGCAAGCTGGAAATGGCCCAAGCAAACCAGAAAGCATCTCTTAAATCCAATTGTGCTCCCTGTGCAAACGGAGAGGAAGGGCTGCATCTCTGGGTGCCTCTGGGAGTGGGGAGATAATCTCCTTGGGATCATCTCACACATCTGCGTCACTGTTGCAGAGACCAAGAATAGTGGGCTCAGACGTTTGCAGAAAGGTAGGTTTGCCGCAGCAGCTCTTGGTTGACCAAATTTAAATGTGAATAGAAAGGATCAGAGCTGTCCCTTTTCCGTTGAACCTCGTTCTCCTGCATTTTCAGGAGCATTGGGGGTGCCCGCCACCACTGGGACAGGGGAGCTGCGAGAGGCCCTCGCTGACTCCAGCCGATATATCCCCGGTGGTGGCTCCTCCGTCCAGCTGGTGAACGGGAAGAGCTCGAGGGGTGGGCAGACCCTGCGGGTCAACGCCTGGTACTGCAGCGAGTGCTGTGGGCACAGATTTGGCTTCCACAGTCACAGGACCCTCTCTGAGGGTTAAGGACTGCCTAGCTTTATAAATATAGACCAAGGGCTGGAAAACAAATGGCCATTAAACTTTCTGCCACAAAAGCGAACCAAAGGAGATTCCCTGTAGAGCTCAGGTGCTTTCAGTCAAAACTCTCTGCCGCACATTTTTAGGTGAGTGTTACAGTTTCTAAACACAGCCCAGAACTTCAATGTCATACTCCTGAATATTAGCCAGCTTTGACAGCTCATGTCAGATGTCTCTCCCTGCCCCTTCAGTGCAAGATGCTCCTTCTCCCCCTTCTGTCACAAGCAACATATAGGGAAAACTGATTTTTCTTGAGTTCTTCTGGAAGCAGTAAACATGGTGTTGCTTTCTGTGACTACATCCTTCCACCCTTGCCTATGACTTTGTACAGTGCAGAGTATCACTAACTGTGCTATAACACCAGCAAAGCATTGAGATGAAACCATTGAGAAGTGGCATTTTAAAAAGCTGCAGTACCTTTAAATCAGCAAAAGCTGCGAAAATACTGTTCACCTTCCTCTTTGGTTGGTAAGTTCATCTTTGTGTTCTGGGGCTGGGAGGGAGAAGGAAAGCAGCCAAGCAGCCTCCAGCTTGTCTCTTCTCATGAGTCTCAAAGCTAATAGAAACGGAGCTGGAGTCCCCCTGGGCATTTCAGGAGTCATCACCTGGAAATCTGCATTGCCAGAGCTGCTCGCCACACAGCAGAGCTTGCTGACATTTAAAGCTGTCAGTCAAATTGCTGTCTTCACTTTGCAGATTGCTGCCAGCCTCCTGTCTGGCGTTTTCAGTTTTACTGCTCGAGCACATTGCTGCCAGCTCTTAAATCTATGGGGCAAATGGTGCTGGGAATAACCTCAGGAGCAAAAAAGTCCACAGATAAAAGAGGTACTGAGCTGTTCAGAGCTCTGCCTCGCTGCTCATTTAACAGCCCAAGTGCAGGGAGTGCAGAGCATTATCCCAATTCTCACTGTACAGAAAATGAATTTAAGGGAAGAAAACTAACTGCTGCTGGTGTGTCAGATGGTTACGGGAGCAGTCGTGCAGTGGGAATGCATCCCTCAGTGTGTGGGGTGACCCTTGCACTGGTACGATGAGTGCTGTCTCCAGACTTCAACCCTTGCACAGTGCCGTGGGGTTTCAAGAGCGCTGAATAAGTCGGTACTTTGCTTAAACTGAAGGTGTGTATTTAAATCATGGCAGCCCACTCCATCTGGGTGTCCTTGTTTTAGTACCTGCACGGCCAGAGCCACGCTGACCCTTTGGGGATGATGGTGCTTCTCTCTTGCTGCTTCTTTTGCCGGGGTGAAATAAAACAAGTGTGACAACAGCCAGTGACAGCCGGATTGCCTGCGATGGAGAAAAAGGTGTTTGTGTCGCTCCTCACAGACGCAGTGGTACGTGTTTGACGAAGGAACCATTCAAGGACTGAGCAAAAATGACTGTTCGGTGATGCTATGCTGCCCTCACGCGGGTGTTTTAGAAATAGCCCCCTCTTCAACCTGCACTAAACTAATGAAACTCTTGGACACCTCCTCCAAGAAAGCCCTCTGTAATCACAGTGAATTTTATTTTTTTTTAAGCGCTTCCACGGCCCGCGCGGCCTGCGGAGGGTGAGGTCGGGGGAAAAGAGGAGACCCTGGCCTTGGCCGCGGCCTCGCCCGGCCGGGCGGGCAGGACCATCTCTACCCGGCGCTGGAGCTGCTTCTGGTGGGGTCACTCGCCAGGCTGTGGT